ATCCGAAAAAAAAAACCAATCATCTCCCACCGGGAATACATGGTAAGAACTTTACAGACGAATCAACTTCGATCAAGTTTAATATACAATATAATTGACTTGAGTAAAATGTAATTAAAATAATTTGTCTTGCTCTTATTAACCTCTGGAGAACCACCGGACGGCAATGCATATTGGAATTCGGAAATCCCATCGGATGAGTTAGATTGTCTTATTCATCATTTTTTCTGTATCTTATTTTTAAAGTTTGCCTTGAAATCGGCGTCGTTGTCTTTTTTTGACGAAATAAATGAATGGAAAGAAACCATAAAATACATCTTATTGCAAAATAACATATTTCAATAACATATAGACCGTTCTGGAATTAGCTCTTATCTATTGAATGATTTTTCAAATATTATAGTATTGTCAGATATGGATTCAACATTGATATGATAAGTAAACGTACATTTAAAATGTATCATATTGGAAATCATTATAATGGTTATACGTCGGATACGGTATTTATTTTTATAGGCCTAGTTACTAAGCATCCAGATGCTTTACCAATATATTCCATGTTACAACCAGGGCACTTACAGCAAATGTTATTTTAGTGCATATTATTTTATTCTTAATACAACTAGCAGACTTTTCTAAATTGGCTGAATATAAGACCTACATTTCCTCTCCAATAAAAATAACACGCTGATAAATCGACTCTAAAGAGGGTGTTCTCCCAACACGAACAATTTATTCCTGTATTTTGAGGGTTTGGGAATAGATCAATAGGCCCCTACACGATTACTGTTTAAATAACATATCTGGTTGATTTTCGAGGTCTGTAAGATATAGAATTGCAAAGTATAGTATTTGTCAAATCTAGGTCGAGTCAGTTCTCATCTTGCATGTAGACTATTATTTGCGAAGCCAACACCGAGAATATAACGATGAGAATAGGATGTTGTAGAAAATGTGCAGTACCATTATTCCAACAACATATTTTTTATGAACAAAATCTCTGTTGTCTGATATATTTATTATAAAAATTATTAAAAATAAAAGACGAAGGCGATGCGCTCCGTTCTTAATAAAATTTTACTACCTTTTAAATATCTGTGTGTATGAAGCATATAGCTCAGTGGGATGTCATAAAATTCTAAATAATTCTTGTTATACCAAGATGATATCTAGTTCCTTAAGCTGTTAGGACTCATTAGACTTTGATTTGAATATTTAAGTACATTTTTATGATTACAAATAGTAAATATTTTTATAAGTGGACATCCCTTTTACTAACACGCATGCACATTATGACACTAAGCGCTAGCTTTTACCGAAAGACAATAAATTTGTTTAACATTAAAATATTCATAAGCGTACAATATAAATTATGAAATCTCCACGCTTAAACTAATTAAACAGAGAAGATTAATGATTTACTTGAAGTGCTTATAACTGATATAGGCCTAATAGTTGGAAGTGATAACATATATACAATCATGTAGGCCTATATTGCAAAGATACGAAATGCATATTTTAACGAAATTTCATAAACGTGTAATATAAATTAATATGTACTACCATATCATAAGAAATTACAACAGCAAATTTAAGACTAACTTGTATAACATTTATTCTCTAGCTTTCGTCCACACAGTGGACTTCATCAAGAAAAACCTAGAGAATAAATGTTATACAAGTTAGTCTTAAAAATACTGTTGTAATTTCTTATATTGTTCTATAGCTGACTAACGCGGCTACGTTTTTTATTCATTCTGTACTACCAACAATCCTAAAAAATATACTAATTAAACCAATAACTATTTCACTACTTGGAGTATATTGTATTGCTAATGAAATTGGTTACCAAAGAGATTATTTTTTAAGTAATATAGGCCTAGTATGCACTAATTGCTAACTACATTATATTATTAAAACACGATATATAAAATCTGAATTTATAATAAAATTACCGGTAATAATAATAATATAAGCCTACGTTGAATAATATACAGGTACGTCTCTATTGTTGGAATGGTTAACATAATCATAATTAAAAATAATAACGGCAATAATGACAATAGTAATACTTAAAGTGATGTTAAAAAGTGTCTGTAATGTGACTTTATTATATTCAGCTAATTGTATTGATATGGGACTGTTAGGTATTAGTGAATTATATCAATATCTTAATTCCTCGTATGTGTTTTACAATGCTGCTCGTAGCAACCAATAATCGGTTTTTGTACTTGTAAATCCTATTATTGCACTGATGTTGGTTAGTGATTACTAGTTATTTGGATTGGATAGCTTAGTGGTTAAGATGCTTGTCTTGTAATCCCATGGTCCTAGGTTCAATTTCAGTCACGGCAGAATTTTTTCTCACGACCAAAAACACTCCCTATGCCTCTTAAATAAACTTCGCTGATAATAAGCATCATGTTATTTTTATGTATTTTATAAGAGGGCACCTGAATATCAGCAGATCTTCTAGGATAGACTGGAAGAGGCCACCCTGAATATCTATACAGTGGTTAAAACAAATTAAGGGCAGCTGTGTATGTATTGAATATTTTTTCCCTCAAGTTCGTTCAAGAGGTTCGTTGTAGCTTCCCACTCACACGCTCCATCATTAATTTGCTAGTCTCTATTTGAGACAGTTATAAACAAACATCATTTCATTTTTTTAAAATCACTATTGTGGTAGAAGTATCGCAATCAAATTTTAGAAGAGAGCGGCTCTTCAAAACTTGTATGCGGTTCAAACAAAATCGTGATCTTACTGAGGTAGGCGCAACCACTCAAATAAATTGCTGTCATACGTAATGTTCCTCCTCACTCACTCTCCCTTGAGACATACTTGCTTGGATATTGAGCATACACATTCAACATACAACATTCGTGTCCTACCAGAATACGTTACATTAGACAGTGATTTAGATTGTTCATCCAGTTTGGTTGAATGTGCGACAAGTAGGCCTATACACAAGCGATTGTGATTCGATACCCAGTCTCTTCGTTGAGAGCCCGAAATGCAAACTACTGTAAAAACGGCTTAACACCGAACAAACAGTACAATGATTCGGTATTTATGAGTTCATCTGCTTTCCATATACTGTACTGTACTTAGTTAAGGTAGTTCTCATATAAGACGATGTGTTAAGTTAATTACTGTATTCGTATTACCTGTAATATGCACATTTTATTATTACGTAGCAAAGTATTAAGTGGCGCTGTTCTTAACACGTTCCACCATCGGTTCCTATTTGACGACGCTGCACCCAGAACACTTAAGCCCCTTTCACACATTCACGATTTTTGCTACGATTGAGTACGATTTTTAAAAGTTGTACAATCTTGCTCTAAAGTACCGTAGTGATTCGTGCTCAAAAAGTGCATGTTCAATCGAATTTTATGTTTTGTCAAGGCACTATTAGGACGCCGTCAAGGTTTATTACGACAGTAATAAACCTTGACGTAAGCAAGACGTCAATACGATTTAACATGACGCTAACTAAAAGGCGCAATTTATGAATATTTGAATGTTGTCGTTGTCGCCAAACCTGAAATATATGCAAGCTCCTGCTATAGAAGAATAAGACAATTTGTTGGCTGCTATAGCATTGATTATCCAGGGTAGTGGTCAGTCACGTCAACTTTCACCGTGTGAGCATTAAATTGTCTAATGAGTTGGTGGAACGCGTTGGACGTCGTATACAGAAGAAAAACGATACGATTCCATTGACGGCGAGTCGAATGGCCGAGCGGTTAAGGCAGGGGCTCGTAACATACAGCCATAATATCTGTGCTGGTTCGAACGACACGCTCGCCTATGGCTCTGGAGGTGGAGCAAGTCTTCTCGGATAAGGACTATAAACCGTAGGCCCAGTGTACATAATGTCTTATGTGCACTATAAAGAACCCAGTACATCTTTCGAGACGAGTAGGGGGACCCCGGTGTAATGGTTCATCTCAATCCCCTGCCCTCATCCAGATGCTGAACAGGCGTTGATGAGTATCTACATAGATTTAGATAGAATGCAACACCAGAACGCGCGTGAACGTTTTTGATGACAAAGATGACGATCCGTTCAGGACAATCAGTAGATGGTGTCGCCTCGTCTAACGCTCACAGAAAACGGAGTTGGATTCTTCGGCCACGGTCGTGCGATCGTCGTACAACGCAGTGAGTAAGGACAGCTGAGAATGTTTTATCTACTTTTTAAAAAGATGAATGCTGGTGTGTAATCAGTTTTTTTTTTAAATAATAATATCAGTATTTTAAATACATTATATTTTCAAATGTAGTTCGACGCGTTGAAATGTAATTTGTATATTTTATAAATTACTATTTCATGAGAACGTCTCGTGCGTATTAACCTAAAGGGATAGTCTACTAAAACAAAAACAAGTGAGTAAATTTTCTATAGTTTCATCAAGCATTGTGTCAATGGTCTCATTTCATCACCACGTAATTTCAAATTATATGAATATCAACATACACTACCGTAAGTAGAAATCTCCAGTTAATATGAAATTAGCCAAGCGTATCTCCTGTATGATTTCAAACTTTATTCAGTGGTAAAGCTTTCAATACATTTTAAATATAGCATGATATATAGCAAATATTTAAAAATCAATATTATTATATGACATCAGATATTTAGGCCTATTCTGAGTCTTCTGAGTTTTATGCGTTCGTCTGTACAAATAATATGTGATGAAAATAAAGAGAATTTCGGGAGATGTTTTGTATTGGCACGTTATATAATGTATTCCTACAGTATTTGATAAATTTTGAACGTTTTCACTCACTTGTTTCGCTTACTAAAATAATTATAACCTTTTCCATTTGCTCATCAATTTAAAAAGACAAACAAAAATCTTGAATACACCCCTGACCATATTGAACCTGGAACAATACATCAAATAGTAGGCCTTAAGAGATTGTTTCTTAAAACTATATTAATTAACAATATTAATACACGGTGTCGGAATGTGTACATATTTCTACTTACCTTTATTCGCGGAGTCAATTGCAACATCTATGGCTGTTCTTTCGTCTTCATCGATGCAATTTTTGTTAAAATCAGGACAGCTGGTTAGTACGTACTTTATCCCATCGACTTCGCCAGTTTTTATTGCTTCAAAGAACAGGTTCTCCACATCGTTTAACATGATGGAAACAACAGCAGTACAATCGGTTAGTTATCAATCCAAAACCAAACACAGATACATACATCGAGAGCCTAGAAATATATTCGTTGGCCTAGTTTAAGTTGCTGATATAAGTATATAATATTGTCTGTCTTTGTATCCCACTCAGTTAGAATATAGTTCTCTGTTGGTTTGTTTAGTCGGTCTGGACCTCAATACGTCCATGCCTATTGGATGATCGTTACCCACTAACCGTGTCTCTCGCTTTTACCATTCAGCTGTGAAAACTCGTTTTGCCACGTGACACTTCCAATCCGAACGTTTAACAGCTCAATTCTGTAGGTAGTGCATTAAGAAGTGAATCAAACCGTGAAAACCTTTGCTGGACACGGCAGACTCTAAATATTAATGCAGATGGACAGATAGCACAGGTAATTGACCACTGTTCTGAATTTTACTTTTTGATTCGCTTCTTATACAGTACATTCACTATCATGTTGTTTTTTTTTTTAATACTGTATTTTTGTTTATCATGTTATATATAATCATACACAGTAGTTAAACAGATAATTAGATAATTCACTTGCTTATGGTATTTCTTTAATTAAACAGGCACGTGTATCTGTAGATCACAGGTGGAGAAGGTGCCGCCTAAGGGCGGCATGGAGCAGCGGCCAGAAGGCAAATCTTGGTGCGCGGCCCGCGAAAATGAGTTAGAAAACGTAAGCCGATTTGCACTTATTCGAAGCCTGGTTTCCTTAAAATCACTACACTGACGCTACAGTGTTTTCAGTGCAATCGTTGTACCGGTACTGTGTAGCACTTCCCGACGCAATTAGGAAGACCATGGAGGGAAGACTCACCGATTCGACCGACCGATCAGCATCATCGGAGGCTGTCAGCGATAGCGTGTAGCGATTGTATGGAAGTTTTTGTTGGCATCATTACCACGTCGGCAGCGTCGTAACTGTGTCACAAGTTCTCAAACGCTTCATGGCTGAGTTGCAATGTCGTAATGTTTTGTGGATGAATTCGTCGTCATTTGCATCAATTCGTCACTAAACTCGCAACCAAAGCATAGGCCTACTTGTTTCGTGTTTACGCTACTTTTTCAGTGATATGATATATGCCTACGTCCCCGGTATTCAACCTCCGGGCCGCAGGCTAATTCCGACCCTTTTGGGTGGTATCGGACTCCTCGTCGGGTAATTTCTAGCCGCTGGCATTGGTTTTTTTGTTCTTTTCAACTATAATTGTAGTACAGTGAACTTATTTTGTGCTCGGAAAGTGTTTAGTCTAGTTGTATTTTATTTTTTTTTATTCCGGGCCACCCTTTCCCAACTACTGCACTCTCCCTCAACTTTACAAAAGAATTAGTCCTATCATATTTAAACCATTTATTTTATTTTTTATCTATTAAAACCAAGGATAATAATAGGCCTATTAGGAAGACTCGTAGGCCTAAAAGAGAATGAGTGGGACTGACATTTAACAAAATTGGAAGTATACAATTTATGTCGGCCCGCCGCTGGTCTCAACAGATTGGAACTGGCTACCAGACTAAAAAGGTTGAATATGGGCATATACACTGTGCAATGCAATACAATGGTGTGCTGTGCTATTATGCTATTTGCTATGTCATCCATACTATAAATATACTATACTGTATTGCAGTAATTTTTATAATTTCATCGTATATATGTACTTTGAGACATTAAATAGTGGGTATCATAATCAGAAAATAAAACCAATATGATCCATCGAAGCAAAACAATGGAAGAGGGTATTATGTTCAAGTCAATTGTATGAAGCAGATCTTACCAACTCTGAAAGAAATTAACCAATAAAAATCAAACAAAATACAATTATGTATAATTAGTTAGCTAGCTTCTTGTTCCGAGCACATAATAGGCCTATCATTTTTTTTATTTAGACTTATAACTAAATATAGAATAAACATAATGGTACAAAAATAAGTGTATAGATTAAGTAGGCCTAGATATCCATCTTTATATTGTTGTCATCTTTAAGTATAACTTGTGATGGTGTTTCTCAGTACCCGGAAATTACTATCATAATCAGACATATATACATAGCAAAGTATCTGGATGACTAAGAATGCTTATATCATACCAAAGTTCAATAAAATGGTCATTAAAGATGTATTGTCCCTTGCTAATGTCAAAAAAACATTTAAAAAATAATTTTGAAATAAACTTGCTCATATTGCAATAGCATACAAATTATTAACTTGTGCATAAAAATGATTGAATTTAAAAAGTGTGTACCCAGATTTTTAAACCAAAAATTATAATAAAAATAGTAAAAAACTTCCAGTGACTGGAAGTGTGTCTATCATTTTTCGCTGTAAACTGATGGGTAGACATTTTTTAAATACACTAATTTCTACGTTCAAGTTGATAACTTTTATGTTACTTATGGGCAAGTTAATTTCAAAAAATATTTTTATGATTTTTTTGGTATTTAGCATGGGACAATACATCTTTAAGGGGTCGTTCAACATTATCAACATTTTCACAAGTGTACAAAACAGTAAGCCAGGGGAGGGGTAGACAAATTTTGTACACATATGTATACCAATGTTGATTCAAAATAACATGCAATATGTAAAATAATAGGAAAATTATAATGTAACCATGGATATAATATACATTTTTAAGCAGACAAGTACATTGCTTTAGTTGACTTCACAAAACAAATTAAGAATGGTTTTGCAAAATTAAAATTGTTTGTACACTTTCCGAGGGGAGGGAGGGGTATCGAAAAAGAGTATTGTTTGTACACTGTGAAAATGTTGATAATATTGAACGACCCCTCTAGTTGGAGTTTAGTTTTTAAAGGCTACTGAGAGCTTCCGCGAATAAGGGGATAATTTTATTCTCAGAAAATACATTTGTTCAAGCAACAGTATAGAGTGGAATATAAATTGAAAGCGTCAGTAAGACTGAGAATTAAAAGATGATATAGCAACCGATACCTGAGAAGCCCAAAGGAAGTCAAAGTAGAAACAGGCGAGTTATTATTACCACAGCAAAGAACGGTTTGAGAAAATCCTAGTGGAAAAGAAGAAAGTCATCTCTAGTGAGAACAACAAGAGAAATCCGCCTAGCCTACAGTTTTCAGAGAAAGGACGGGATGAGGCTCCAGTGGATCGAGAAACACTATATCAATGTGGGAAGGAAACTTTCTTCAAAAAATTCTATAAATCGGACCATTTTTATAAATCGAAGGAGAGGATAATATGTAACGAAAGTGTCCTTGCAGGTCATAATTCTGCTTTTTTGGCATTTTATCAGTGTACCGGTATTCTCTGATAATTGTGTTAGTTTTTTTGCAAAATAAGATGGCATAACTAGAGGCGTCCGTTGATTAATATCGTGTACTTCGGTTTTCAATGCTGCTACATGAGTTACATTATATACGTAATCCACAGACTTATTCATAATGTCTGTAGAATATTAATGTTCATTCAAAAAAATCAGCTTTCTTAATAGGTTTTGATTTAAAGCCCTAATCAGACTGCAAATCCCGCTAAGCCTTTAAAAATTAAGAATATTGAATGTCTCCCTTGAATGAAGGATACTGAAATGTCCTATTGATGTTGGTATAGGCATCTGTTGATTTAAATGCACCGTTGTAGTAAGATGCAAGTCTTAATAATGATTTATAATATCAATACTGTTTGTATGTGAAATCAACATCTGGAAACAGCTGGCGAAGTATATGGATTCCAGTAGTAAGATTATCGCCGATGTCTCCTATTCAATCATCTTATGTAATGTCTACATCAATAAGGTCTTTGAATAGTTCAGAGAGTGGTGTTAAAGATATATCCCATAAAAAGACAAGCAACTGATAGCGTCATTATATTTCCCTGATGAGTGTCGATATGTTTCACTGAAAGTACAGTACCTGTATATGGCATTTATCACAGAGCGCATAATGGGTTTATTGCCTTTCTCCAAATGATATTTTAATGCTAATAATCAATCATGGAGTGTTATCGATCAATGGATTGTTATCGATCGTTGTTATAAAAAAATTCTTTACATCATTCTAATATTACCATACTTGAATTATTCCTATACGGAGTAACGCCATTCAGAGTCTAATATAGAAATTAATTTAAAATGGCGTTTAGCACCACCATATACACCCAGTTCCTTAGTTTATAAGATTTGATCAGTGATTTACTTAAACTCAGAAACGTCAGGGTACAGAACATGTTTTTTTTTTCGCTTTCTACAAACAAATTCCGTAATCACAACACAAGGACAGTCTTAACAAAGTTATACATCACTTGCTGGACCATTTAAGACATTACGGTTCCGAACTCTATAACGGGTTGTCGGACGAAATTAGAATATGTAATCCTCTTTTCATTTAAGAATTCCTCTACAGCTTATTTTAGTCACTTGTTGATGTCTGGTCCCGACGAATTCTGGATTTTCTTCCCGACGGGTTTGGGGTGGCGGGCAAGCCTCCCCGACGGGAAGTAAAACTACTTACTACATATTAGTAGACTCCAAAATCGATTAAATAAGCACTTGAAACACCTAAATTGTCTTATTTTTAGTGGCTTCGCCCTTGGAACACTTTAGGGATATTTTGAGCGACAGTCGTCGTCCACGCCCACGCCCCCGTCGAAATCCTGGCGCCCCCACTGATGATCTGGCAGTCGGCTTACTGTATTATCCTACTTTATCCTTCTAGTAGAACGGTACGGACATCATCTGGTTGGATTGAACCAGGCACTTAATTATGAAAACCAATTATTTGGTTCAGCTCACATAGTAAATACCTAAACGCACATTTAGTCCACTACGCTGGTCCAACCGACTGAACGTCTATCTATTACGTAGCTGAAACTAATCACATCAGACAAATATGAAAAGTCATATCTCATCAAAGTAAAATGATTTCCTTGAAGACATACTATAGCCTGAAGTTGGACACCGATACATAATATCCATTTCTGTACAATGATACTAAACCACTTTAATTGAACTGTGCTGTAGCGAGTTTGATAATGATGGTGGGTGGCTTTTCTTTGCAAGATAAAAAGAGCAAACCGTTATAATATCTAGGGATATTTACTATTAATAGAAATATTAATAAATTACCATTTAATGATAATAGTAGTATAACTATACTAAAATAATTTCAAATAGGTCTATATTGTTTGCCTTAGTTCTTACCATTTTTGCTGTTTTTATGCTTTGGTGACTCT